CGATATTTTTTCGAATTGTGTCTGAATATAAAAAGATCGTATCCTATGGCAGTAGGGGTAACACAGCTTTTGACATTTTGTAGTAGTTTTGATATGAACAATTAATCCCATGGGGGTGGGGGTAACATAGCCGGTCCACAAAGGTTACATAGCTGGTCCAAAGTCTTCGGGTTTTGGCAGGCATCGCCACTATTATTTTTTTTGCCTGCAAGAAATTTTGCCCGATAATCGAAAGGCGATGCCTGCGGAGGAGGCTATGTAAACCCAAGTTATCACAGTACATATTAAAGATGCTGTATAGTCCATAATGTAAACAAATGATTTGTTTACATTTTGAACTGCTATATTTGTAAAATATGATATCTAACTGAATATCCAACATTTTTTGGTTTGCTATGCTCGTAAATGAATATAAAGTCTACGTTTGAATGCAAAATTTTATATCTGTAGGTTCCGCTTTGTTATGAGCAGAACTGATGTGCAGAATGGACTTTACAGCATCTTTAACATTTTAATACAAAAAATAACATCAACACAAGTTACCTGGAAAAATGATGGAAGTGTGTGATTAATAGTTATGGTTGATGAGTAATAACCTTTTGTAGTAGTGCCATTAAAGATTGGTTTTGTTGCATCTGCTGTTGTTGGATCATTTGCATTTGCTCGTTCTGGGCTTGGACCATCTGCATAATCTGTTGCTGCTGTTGTATTTGTTGATGTTGAGCTTGCTGTTGGATTTTTGGTCTTGTTTTCTTATCTCTAACTCTTGTTCAGCTTTCTCTTTCAAAAAAGTTAAAGCACCTTCTGTACTTCTTCTTACTCTGGTGTTCTTGGTTACATCATTACCATCAACTTCTTGTTTTCTCTTTTTAGTTTCTCCCAATCTTTCCAGGGCTTTGTTTCTCACATCTTCTGCAGCAACTTTATCTGCCTTTTCTTTGTTTCCTATGCTTTCTTTCGTAGTTTCCTCTTGATCGGTGAGCTCCTCTATCAATATATCTTTTTCATCCTGCTCGTCCACCTCAATACCGCTTGCAGCTTCTTCTTCACGTCTATTCTTTTTGAACTTGTTCTTAAGTAAATTCCATCTATCTCGAACAGATCTCTTTTCCTTTATATGAAAGACCATATCTTTTGTTGCATTAAGCCTGTCTGCTATTTCGTCCCAAATTCTCCCCCTGTCAGGGCTTCCTTTTCTGTAGTGAAATATATCGGAAGCTAGCATTTCCCTCAGCAGAAAGATGTCATGTTCTTTTGTCCACTCCATCTGAGTGCTGCAATTTTAAGAAACAGATATGTTCAGGATTGATTGATGTGAAGAAATATTTTATACCTTAACATGTGCCCTGTATGCCTTGTTTGCATCTTACCTGGAATCTATCCATGCGATACTCTAAAGGTTTTATGGATAATAAACGTAGATGAAATCTTTGCAAGCATGTATCATTTTTAATACTTCCAACCATTTTCCCCTGTGTTAAGATGTAAACAAGGCTGGGTGTACAGCAAGCTGCACTAGATTATCCAAAAGACCATTTAGTTAGTTAGCAAGCCACTTTATAATCAGCAGGAGCAAAGTTACCCGCAGTATGCTATCTCCTAATGATATTTAAATTTAATCAGCGAAAATTATGACCAGTTGCCATGGCTATTTTCGCTAAATATGAAAATCAGAATTTTAAGCCAATTTGCATTTATACACAAATTTATCGCCAACCTATCTGAGCAGTAAACTCTTCCTAAATATGAGAAGAGTGTAAAAACCACACACATTCACTTTAATGCCACGATTTTCATATTTCGTGGTGCATTCTTGTTCTATTCATACATATGAATTGTACTTACGTGCTTTTCTTCTTCGGATCGACAGCCATGTTCAAACTAACAAATACAAAACCAAACCACATAGCTTGGACAAAATAACATTTCATAAACTTCACGAAAGGTATTAGGTAATATATTTACGACTTTACTCCATTCAGAGTTAAAATTTGAGGAGAAAAATGAAAATATATACTCACGTTTTCCAACAACGCCAAAACAAGCAATTTCACGTCGGCGCGTGCAAGGCGACGGCAGATTACAAATTCCACGCATGCGCACATCATTACCGGAAGCTAGGTTTTACTTCCGCTTCGCGTTGCCGTTGTCATTTAACGACATGCTAAAGGTCCCTAATACTCGTCCACCAGTGGACGGGAATTGATGATTGGCTGCATGCGAGCCTGTGCCTCTGTCACTCAAAGGTGAATATAGGCTTTTAATTAATATGTCACGGCATAATATGAACGCTTCTCGAAAGTCGAATTAACGCGAACTGATTGTCAAATCTCAAACGCGAACAAGAGATAGCAGTTAAAGATTTACTCCTTGTAAAGAAAGCGTGGACCGTTCTACATTGTTTTTGTTGGCACGAGAAAATATAACGAGAATTAATACAGACCGTCGTAGGGGTTTAACGGGTTTAACAGGACTACTACGCCTAGGCCTGTTAGCCGCTTCAGTGCTTCACTTTCTGAACTTTTAAGGCTTTCTTTAACACACGGCTTCGTTAGGGCGCAGTTAATAGACTGGTTAGGGAGACGAGACAGTTTATATTTGCAACCGACGTTTTTATACAACACTCGACAGTCTATTTGTTTGATGCGTACACAGGCAACGCGTTTATGTCTCGTTTGGTTAATATGGCAATCAGTTCGCTTGCGTTTCGGATCTTTCGCACACACGGTTTACAAACACGGTCGGTTCTTTGGTAGAACTATCTTCGATTCCTAAATGAACTGAACACAATTCATGATCGGCTTATTGATCGGCCCAGGCTTTACCACTGTCGTAATCGTCTCTTTTGCTTGCCTTAAATATATAAAAATTCTCCGACGATATATAAGATATTTTCTCTATTGCCCCGTGTTTTACTTTTAAAAGCACACTTTATACACAAACGACAGTAGTCATTTACATTTGAAACTTTCAATGGCGTTTCTTTCCACATATTTGATAATTGTAATTTTGCGACCAAACAATAACCTGGTTTGAGTGTTTGACAGTTTGATTATTAATTTATTTAGTGTTTGCTGATTGGCTAATTGCACCCGGACAAAAAAGTGGGCGGTTATCAAATTACACTGCCAAACCTAGCAGGCGGTATTTTAGACCGCCTGCCATGCAGGGTGTTGGAGATTGTCAATATTTAATATTTAACAGTTTATGGCATACCTGAAGTTAATTAATGCGCAAGTGTCAATCAAAAAGCATGCGGTTTTGTACATTGCAAGAATTTGTGTGATTGTGTTGAGACGGAGCGAGAATAAATATATTTTTCATAAAAGCGTTTGAAATCTTTACTTTTAGTGAGTTGTTGTGAATATAGGAGGCAATTCACGACACAGGGTAGGTAGCCAGTGTCTTTTCTCCCGCTCTAAGGCACTACTATATTTGCATTTTTCCAGGTTTCCCATCAGCAGTGATGTCAACCCAGGTGACAAACCCACCAAGTGAGACTCAACTTCGCGTGGCGTTTGATCTTGATGCCGTATTATTTTCTAATGAATCCGAGAAAATTTATAAACAACATGGTCTTCATGCGTTTCTGGAGCATGAAAAGAAGAATCGTGATAAACCCTTACATGACGTAAGTTAGGAACGAAGTAAATTTAGATGAAAATTGACATTAAAAACCTTCTAATTTAATATTTATACGGCAGGGGACAAACGGGAGACTTTAAATCATATTTTGACGTCAACTCACTGTTAATTTCAGGGTGTTAAAATAACACCTCGGGTGGTGTTAGATTAACACCAACTGGTGGTGTTAAACAAAAGTGTTATTTTAGCACCCTTTTTCGGTGCTAATTTAACACGACATAAATAAAAATATTTTGCAAAGTGTTAATTTAACACTCAAATTGTTTAACACCACTTTAGAGGTGTTAAAATAACATCCACTTAAGGACAGGTGGTGTTAAAATAACACCGGTTTCTGGTGCTAAATTCTTGGTGTTAAAATAACACCATAAGTGGTGTTAAGAATTTGTATTCCCCAGTGTTAAATTAGCACTGTTTGTGGAGTGAGAACATGGGTGTTAAAATAACACCTTTTTGGTGGTGTTAAATTAGCACGCATCACGAGTGTTAAAATAGCACCTTTTGGTGGTGTTAAATTAGCACAGAGCACGGGTGTTAAAATAGCACCTTTTTGGTGGTGTTAAAACTGTTTGTGCAGTTAGAATAACATATATTCTTAAACTAAACACTTTTACAGTATAACACGGACTATAAACACACGTTTTGAGCCTGGTCCACCGTCACAGGCTAGGGCTGGCCGATTACAGGTATAGCGCCAAATTAATTCGCAAATATTTATCCGAATATTATCTACTGGTAGCATGAAACAGGCGCATATTAATTTACTGGTAAATTATAAACCATTTCACAAATGAAACATTTGAATTCAGAAGTTAATTACTAGACATAATAATAAATTAACAGAAATAGTTCCCATGTCACATGTGTCATGTATGTTTATGCATTTCATCATACAGATTGGAAACTGGCAAAATTGGACCTCAAAATATCGCATTTCAAATATTATAAGACTATAAGTCTTATAACACGCTATAATTTGCAGCAGCAATAACACAATATGAAGATAACACACAATGAAGCCGAAATATTTGAATATTCGCGCGCCGCATGATCGAGCTTTCAACCAATGAGGATAGCGCCGCCGTGAAATCTAATACCTTCTTGTCGCATCGATACTGGCAGTCTGGTTGTATGGGAATATATCTGCTATTGTGGTGCGAGGGTTCTATAATGATTGCTTCTAAGTGTCAGTGCGATGGAAGCGATACAAACTGATTAAAATGGCTTTAGTATATTCATATTTCAAGCATAAAGATGGCTTTAAAACTGTGTGAGGAAGAAGCGAGCAAGGTTGCTGTTTGTATTTGAATGACAAAGGTCTGGCCGCCAATGCAATTCAAAACGTGTGGTTCACAGCGTCAATGCTTTAGAATTAGTTCGCCTGTAACTTCAAAGATGTGATAAACGTCGAAAGGAATAAGGTGAGTTATTATAATAATGCGAGAATTATAATTATTGTTGTCTGCGATTGTCGTATTTATACATTACGACCGCCATTATGCTGAGGCTACTCTCATTGTCATTGCAGTCTCAGTTAAGAAAACTTGCGCGCGTTTTGATTTACAAGTACTGTAGTTTTGTCTGATTTATCTTGCGTTTAGTGTTTTCATTTCAATTACAAAGACAAGTATTTTAGAACCTGAGGTGGAAAATCGGGAAATGGCTGTTAAATACCCAACCTCAACTATATCATATTCATATAGGAATGCAAGATTTTGTGCATTCTATTCAAATTACGCACAACAACACAGACCAACAATATTTTATTCATTAAATTTCAATGGCAAACCGAAACGGTAATGTTTTATATTGATTACTGAACGATGGAATTTATTTTATTAATACTGTCTGTGAGATGAGATACAGTATACACTACACAGCTGGACCTGAGCTGGTGTTTCATAAATATTTTTGCCAACTCGAATTTTATATTTGATTTTTAACCATTAAGCTGCAATGTTCCCAAATATACCTTATTTTATTGTTTTATTCTGGCTAACGCCAAACAATGTTTATCTAATTTGCCAAGGGGATCTTATACCGTAAACCTCCGACTATAAGCCCTGGGCTTATAACTTTCGTAAGCGATTTTTGATTGGCTTATACAAGGGGAGGGGGGGGGGGTATATACTGGGGGCTAATACATGGATGATCTTTTGTGTTAGTAATAAACAAATCAGACTAAAACAAGTCAGTCATAAACAGGAAAATAAACATCCATTAATAACGTGCTTTGATTAACGTAACATGTAGTCGGCTATAAAGACACTGACAATGTTTTTAAATACCGTTCTCTGCTATATTAAAAGACAATGAAAATGTTGAATAACGTAGTGGGCTACTGGGCTTATATTCGGGGGACTTATATTTGGGGGGCTTATATTTGGGTGGGCTTATGTTCGGGAGGGCTTATATTTGGAATGAATTGAGCGTTAGTATATGTGGTGGGCTTATCTTCCGGGGGGCTTATATTCGGGGGGGGGAGCTTATAGTCGGGAGGCTTATAGTCGGAGGGTTCACGGTATAATGACAGAGATAATTTTACCTATCATTGGGCTATCAATGGGAGAGTCCTGAGTATTAATATTTAAGAGTGAAAATATTGATTATGATATGTCAAATTTCTCAACCATGTCAGAAGATACACTAAACCTAATTAAGTTCTTATTGCAACAGATTCTCATTTTAAAGTAGAATAATTGCCACATGTAGTGTTAAGGTGAGATAGCACATCTCTTATCCATCCACGACAAATGACCCATTTGACACAGTTAACACTATAATGGGGGTAATTTTTCTTTCTTAAAATGGCAATGTATCGATATGATTTTTCAATGGTAAAATGCAATTGGACTGTACGGGCCAGTCTGTACCAGTGACTAATTAATATATAGTTCAGCTAGGTGACACTTGCTCGATGGCTTCCCTGTTAGATACTGTACTCCTTTTGAAAAAATATTAATTGCTACATGTAGTGTTAAGGTGAGATCATGGCACATCTCTTATCCTATCATTGCATGTAATCAATGCTTATTTGTCTCTACAAAGAGATGGTTTGCGCTCTAGCTAGATATCTCAGTGACATTTAGATAACGAGTAGCGTAAAGCCAATCAGAATACAACATTTAACTCTTGTTCAAGCATCAGAACTTGACAACATATAAAATTACTAAATATATATATACTGTATAGACTAATGTGAAAATGAATACTTTTAGGATGACGGACAATGGCCATTGATGAAGAAGTGAGGAAATCAACCTATCCTCGAATCTTGGCATCAGGTGACATTGCATCCTTGAACCCATTGTACATTGCTGCCGTGGGTCAAATTTAGTTGCGTTTTGCTGGTAAAAATATTCCACATACTTATTGCCACATTTCCATGTTCTAAATATGGAATACACTCCAGGTGTTTCGAGTGTTTATGCATTTCTAGAATCTAGAACCTTAAACTGCCCTGCTGATGCCGAGAACAAAATTTCTGTACAACAACTTTTAAGTGAGCTTGGACTCCGAAATTAATCGTGATAAATACTTAGTTCATATAAATTCATGCATGTTAAAGGTATTTCTTGTCAGCGAGTAATTTATAATAATAACCAATTTTGAACCTATATTTCTCTTTTGTGTGTGTCTTAATGTGCCTGGTTGAAAGTGTTAAATCAACACCTTAAATCTGGTGTTATTTTAGCACCAGATAGGAAGAAGTGTTGCTTTGGCACTGCCAAATCAGGTGTTATTTTAACGCCACACTATAGGTGTTAAAACAACTCTTAAAACTGGTGTCACTTTAGCACTTAAAAGTGGTGTTAGTTTAACACTATAAACAGGTGTTAAATTTACCCCCAAAACTGGTGCTAATTTAACACTAAAAATGGGTGTTGTTTTAACACCATATCTAGTGTTATTTTAACACTATTTTAGTGGTGTTAAAATAGCACCAAAAAGTAGTGTCATTTTTTACCTAATTTTTTAACACCACTTTTTGGTGTTATTTTAACACCCTAAAATTAACAGTGCTGTAAGCAGTTCTAAGTTAGAAGATTTTGTGCGTTAAAATTAAAACACGAATTAGCTACTATATTTGTCAAAAACTGGTATAGCCTACCTCGAAACACTATTCGAAATTTGCGGTTTGGGTTCTGCCGTAAAAATCTTGTTGTTAAGCACGTTCATGCGCGATGCTTAGTTGGAGACAGTTTCTTCTGCAGTGGTTTGCCGTCACGTTTTCTGAAACTTTGCTGTAGATTAAACAGTATTCCAAGTAGGTTTCATATAGACTGCGACTACAAACAACAAGGTGGAAACGAAATATTCTTATTAAAATTATTAGAGGCTGTCAAGTCCGTTCTCATCATGCATGCATGCACGTGTTTTGTTTACATTTTTTGTTTCCAACAATAGATAATTATTCGCTGGGGTACTATTACTGGCTGCCGCCAGCGAGTATAGGTTTCAGCTTTTCGCGGATTGTTAGTCACAAATAGTGCCATTGTGTGGAACTTGAAATTCGCCGCTAGGTATCAGGCTTGTAAACATGCAGCATTTCAGTCATTTCAAAATCAATGTATTGTGTTTTTAACGGGGAAATGTTGGAGCCGCGGTAATACACCCTTTCAAGGTCAAGCTATTAAATATTTTCAAGAAAATTGGAGGGTCAAATGTGGAGTTGAAATAAATTTGCTTAAACCTAGTTTTCAGTTTCCTCGACGATGACTTCAAGCCAGGTAAATCCCGTGGGGCATATAAATGATATAATTTATTCTGATCAAAATTGTGTTTGTGTAAATAGGGTCTGCTTAAGGGCTTTTTATATGGTCCCGCTTACCCGAGATTCAAGGAAGTGTGACGTATTTTGAGCAATTGAAATACGTGTTGCAGCCCTAAACAAAATTTAGATAATTTTAAATATTATTTAAACGAAATTAAGAACACGCTAGAAATTATGTAGTGGAAGAGGGCGATTTTTGCATTCAACAACATTTGTTTTTGTCTAAAACATGGAATTTCATACAATTTGCAACAAACAAATTTTGTTAGATCATGAACTGCGACTTATTTCAATTGCTCAAAATACGTCACACTTCATAGAATCCCATGTAAGCGGGACCATATAAACAGCCCCTTAATAGGACAAGGACAGCTGTTATTACAACATATATTGTTCTAATATTCATTTGTATAATAGCCAACTTGGCTAGCAAAGTTGTTTACATTCTTGCTATACAATTCACAACTTTAGATATTCATGCGTAGTTATATTGTTCTACGATTGTTCACACAATAAAGTACAGTGTCACTCTAAACTGTATTCGAGTTGATTATAATTTCTATATGTCGCTGTAAACTGTAGTAGATAACGGCAGCAAAACTTCCTGTAAGAGCTACAGTACCTACTTACTAGTGCGTTTATCTGTGAAAGCTTTATTAGAATAAACATGCAAGCTTAATTTTAATACTCCCAGCGACTAAACGCTCAACAGAATGTTTTGTTTTAATTAAACAACTAGTCTCATCGTAAATGTAGGTTAACGGTCTAGAATTCAACGTGGACTTGAATAACTTAGTTCTTGCACTTCACTTGGTGGAATTAATATTAGGATGTTAGGGTTTGTAATCCAAGTGAGAATATATACATTTTAAGACCTAACAAGGAACGACTGCGAAAAATGCAGCACATGGTCCTCTGGTAGGAATTGAACCTACCTTCAATCTGAACTAAAGCCGTCAGTAATTCTTCGAATGTCAACTTGGCATTCCCCAACGCCTTACATAAACACCTCTTACCAAATCAACCAACCTTTCAAAAATCCTCCCCACCAAGGCGCTCTCTCTAAATTAATGGGACTTGCTAACAGTCGTGGGTTGTGGGTGAAATGTCGTGGGTTGTGGGTAAAAAGTCGTGGGTCGTGGGTAAAAAGTCGTGGGTAAAAAGTCGTGGGTCGTGGGTGAAAAGTCGTGGGTCGTGGGTAAAAAGTCGTGGGTAAAAAGTCGTGGGTGAAAAGTCGTGGGTCGTGGGTAAAAAGTCGTGGGTCGTGGGTAAAAAGTCGTGGGTCCCGAATAAAAAGTCGTGGGTCCCAAATAAGAATGCGTGGGTCGTGAGAAAATGCCGTGGGTTCCAAGCAAAATATTTCCATATATTTACCTTTCTCGCTTTAGAATGCGTGTTCTTTTTTTCTTCTGAGACTTTCCCAAATATACATAGTTTTAGAGCGCGTTATTGAGGCCGGGTTTTTGATATTGGCAGATCGGTTTATAAATATTATAACCAAGTGTGGATGAAACAGTTCAACTTCACGCCCTGATATAGCTCAAATATTTGGAAGTTATAATCTTATAGAAAGCGAACTATTGTACTTCAATGGGAAATAGTGCCACCATAAATAGCTAAATTGTGACATTCAGGGCTTCACTGTAATTTGTTGATCGTCTTGATCGATGTTCTTACAGTAATAAGCGAGAAATTTCACTTTGACAGTTAATGTAATGCAATGTCTGTTTTACTAGGCCAAAATAGAAAAAAGCATTTGAGAGATT